CAGCCGCGCGGGAGGGAGCGGGCGCGATGCAGCGGGTCGCGGGCAGCGCCAGGCCCGTGGCCCTGCCCCGCCTCCTCCGTCGGCGACTGCCCCCGCTCAGCCCTGCCGCATCGCCCAAAAAGCGGGGGAGGGAAACGGATCGGGGGGAGGGGGCCCCAGGCGTCGCCCCTCGCACGGAGCCACTCCAGGCCCGGCCCAGACACAAAGGGGAGCAGCGGGGAACTGCCTGTCTGAGCGCAACGGCCACGGGGCGCCGCCTGGCCCCACCCCTGGCCCGCCGGGTCTATTGCCGCGCCCTCCCGCGAACGCCACCAGATCATAGAGGTGGCCTCCAGGTGGGTAGAGAAGGGCCACGTCGAGTGGCACCGCCCCTTTCCCCTCCCCCTGCCTATGCCTGTGCGCAGGAATTTTGCGTGCGCCGCCCGCACCTCCATGTTGGGGACAATCGCGCGGTTGCCAGACCGCGGCCTGGGCGGGAGCTGCGTGGGAGGGCGCCTAGACAGCGGGCGGCTGCTCCCAGCAGCATCGCCCCCCGCGCCTTTAGAGAGCCTTATGGAAAAGTGCGGCTGCTTTTCCCAGCGGAGCTGCTGCCTGGAGCGGAATCTGATCATGATCGTGTCGGGCGATGGTCACACGTGCATTGTTACGACAGGAGGAGGGAGAGGGTGTAGGGAGCCCCCGCCAAACCGCCGCCGGAAAATCCCCTCCTGCGGCGGGGAGAAGGGAAAAGCCAGGCCGGGTGTCTTCAGAAGCCAAGCCCCCAGGAAAAGGTGTTGCTTAAAATCTCCTGTTCCTCGCCCATCCTGCACGAGCAGAGATAGAGCAACACCCCTTGCTCGGCCCCTTGCGCTGGTGCTTCTCACCCAGGTGGTTGCAGCACCCTGGGGTGCCCAGAGATCCTTTCAGGGGTGCCATCATGCTGTGTCACCTTAGTGCTGGTGTACAGACGGGGTTTGCACAATCAACCCAGAAACTTCAAATAGGAACCCGTGGTATCACCACCACTGTGCCCTGCTGTGGGCTTCCTGAAATCTTTGCAACAGAAGAATTGCTCTCGCATTTTTCTGTAGTCACAAAACAGATGAAAGCTAAGCACTGGCATTTTCTGAGGGATGCCCCAAGTTGGTCCAGGGGTGCTTCAGGTCTAAAAAGTGTTGAGAACCACTGCCTTAAACACTGCCTCAGCTTTCAAACTTTAGTGCTGGCCTCCACTACCTTTGAAGACCTCCCCTTCTCCTTATCTGGCAACAGCAGTGTTTCTTGTCACATTCCCACTGCCAACGCTCATTTCTTAGTATTCTGTTTCTTAGTCCTGTTTCCCTTGAAGGGGAGTTCACAAGAGGAAGTTAAACTGTTCTCAGTGGTGGAGATGACAGAACAAGGAGCAACAGTCTCAAGTTGCAGTAAGAGAAGTTTAGGTTGGATATTAGGAAAAAAAATCTCACTAGGAGGGTAGTAAAACAGTGGAACAGGTTACCAAGAGAGGTGGTGGAGACTCCATCCTTGGAAGTCTTTTAAGACCTGACTAGACAAAGCTTTGGCTGGGATGATATCTAAGTGGGGCTGGTCCTGCTTTGAGCAGGGGGTTGGACTAGATGACCTCTGGAGGTCTTTGCAGCCCTCATTTTCTATGATTCTTCCTTGCTACTCCATCTCTGCATTAATGATCTTCCCCCCACAGTTCACTGCATTGGCACTGCTTTTTGGTCACTGTTAAAAATATTTCCATGATGCGTAGAAGTCAAGAGTATGATTTGAAAATAAAGAAGCCAAGGCAAACTTCTTTTGTTTTTTCCTATCTCTGCATATTCCTGTGTACTCTGGTTATAATTCTTTTTTTGTCTGTGGTGTAGTGCTGCCCTTTCAACTCCAAATTAACTAATCGTCACATTATTTCATAGTTTTCACCATTAATAGTAAAAAGAAACATTAAGTGTGCTATATACATTTATTTCACATTATATGTGCATTTAGAAATAATTAAATTAGATCATAGATATGAAGGAAATTCAGACAGATTCCAGTTTTCAGATGAAACCAGTGTACTCCCATATTTCTGGGACTAGCAACAGATCAGGCAGACAGGCAGCAGAAAAAAACCCCCACAAGAGTGTTCCACAGAAACCACCAGCCAAACCAGTGCCGCGCTAAAGATACAGATCATCTTATTGTGCATACCTGAAAAGAACAACAATTTCTGGTGCAATTTCTAGTAGAACTGGGATTGAAATGTAGAGGTCTAAGTTAAAATTAGACCTCTACATTAGACCTAAATTAAATTTGACAGGGAGTGGTACAAAAAGCCCCTTAAAAATATACAGTGCACGGGGGAGGCCTCCCTGTAATTGTTTTAACACCTGTCCAGTCTCAAGATTTATGTAACATACACTGAGGCCAAAATATGTGGAATTAAAAAATGGATTAAAGCCATTTTTGCCCTCCAGCCATTCCTATTTCATGTCCAAGGATGTTGGAAATGAGAAATATAGATCCCCAGCCCAATCTAATACCTTAAGTCTTACAAAAAAATTCTTATGCAAAAATGCTGCTTCTTTGCTGTACATACGAATTTAGAGTTGAATCCCCTGATTTTAGTGATAATAAGTTTGTAACTATTTCTTTTCACTCCTCATACCCCACAGAACCCAGCAGAGATAACACTGAATGGACTGGATCTGGCTCATACGTTAATCAACAGAGTGGTTATTAAGAGAAGTTGTGGCATCTCCACCACTAGAAGTTTTTAAGAGCAGGTCAAACCAGTGATTCTCAGCCAGTGGACCATGACACACCGGGTTGCCTTAAGTTCCTTTTAAAAGTGTTGCAGAGTGCCAGGCAGCGTCCATGCTGCTAAGCTTGCACACAATTCACGAGATATTCACCGACATTTCAAATAGGAATTCATAGTGTTAAAAATATTTTGATCCATTGTGGTCTGAATTCTTTGCAACAGAAAAAAACTGCTCTATTATTTTTCTGTAGTCAGAAAAACAAGTGAAAACTAAGAGCTACATTTTCTGAGGGGTATACTGAGTCCAGTGAGGGGTGTCTTGAATCTAAAAAAGTTGAGAACCATTGGTTTAGACAAATGTGGCTAATCTGCCTCAGAAAGGGATGATCCTGCCTTGCATGGGAAGTTGGACTAGATGACCTCCTGGGGTCCCTTATACCCATTTTTCTAGTTCTAAGCTCCAGTTGTTTCTTTGTTGGCAAGACACATGCCAACAACATAGGCTGATTTTCCTATTTCAAGCTTGCATGGCTGACAATTAGAAAAAAAAATTACAATTTTTACTTCTCAGCTGACCATATCCAATATTCTCTCTCACTTCCACACAAGCAAAACCTGAGATTGTCATCTTATTGTCACTTTTCAGAGTCATAACCACACATTAACCACAAAAGTGTCCTTCCTGTTATTTCAACTGCTAAGAAACAACCTAAAAAAGCAGTTTTATCTTCAAGAAAGGGGAAAAATATAAACTATTTTAAAGAGACAAAAATGCTATCTTCTTTAGTTTAGCAAAGGCACCTAACTACACAGCACAACTTTCACCCAACTATACCAACCTGTAAAACAGCAGATAGCTTCATTCTGTTCCCTAAAACAATTAACTCAGTTTTATGGTTTACATAGCACATTTTTTGCTTAGATAGTTAAAAAAAATAGATAATGTATATTGAAAAAGTAGGTCCTGAACCTGGTGCTATTCAAGTAAATCACAAAAATGTCATTGATTTTAAGGGTTGCAGGACTAAGCCACTGATTACTACACAGAGTTCTTACCCATAAGCAATTGTATAAACAATGTTTCTGGCCTGGAATGTTTATTTTTCCTGTGATTTTGTGTCTAATCTTCAGGAAAAAATAGAGGGGGTTTATTTTATTTAGTTTTGTTTTTTGGGTTTTTTTTAATAAAGAATAAATATTGTTTTATGCAATGAAAAGCATCAGTTTAACCAAACTGACAGGAGGCCTGGAACAGATGTTTAAGACAGGACTGCCCTGGTGAAAACAGGACATATGGTCACCCTATCCACAAACAGTTTTGCAGATGTGTAACAGTTTATGGACAAGCTTGATCTTTGTCCAATTTGCCCAATGTGTCTACATGAGGGAGCAGAGTGTTGCCTTACCAGCCTACACAGCTTACCTAGATCTCACAGCACAGGGGGTAAAACATTTACAGTTGCTGATCCCCCAGTTTCTGTGACTGGGGAGTGGGTAGACAAGTCCAGGGGCCAGCATGGAGTAAGCCTTGTTTCCACCACATGGACATGCTGACCAGTAGAAAGGGACCAGCTGTTCTGTTAGCAGCTCTCTCTCCAGGGGGGAAGGACAGGGAGGAAGAAGACCAGGGTCCACATAGAAATTATCAGAATCATAGTTCATTGTCTGCTATGTTTCTTGAGCAGCATAGCTTTGCAACTTCCCTTATTTTAATCAGATTTGAGGTTACAAACTTGCCTTAAGTTTTTACTGCATATTCTTCATAAAAAATATTTTCCATTCTTTGCCCCAGTGATAATTAATGAACGCACCCACTCTATTTCCTACATCAGCTGCAGCCCATGTTCATGCACAAGGAGATGGCAGGAGCGACTCAAAGGTTGACCGGGGAAGGGTATAGAGGTGAGGAGGC